ATATGCGTACCTTTTTAAGCAACTAATTCAATGTTAATGTGAATTCTTTGATAGCAAAGCGAACATAATATATATATATATGTATCGATCGAACAGATATATATATATATGTCTATGGACACGCCCCCTTTACTTGGTCGCGAGTATATATTCCGGGGGGATTATGCAGTACACCGTCTCCAGACCAAAATAAATTGTAACACAATGAGCCGCAAATTTGTATTTATACATATATCTATATATATATATAGTATATATAGTAAGTCCCCGATGCAAACCAACCTATAACAATCGAGTTCCGATTTCAAATACAAACAAACAAAAAAACGTTAAATAAACAACAAATTCTAGAATTGTAAACGGCAAAAGCGCATTAAATACAAAACTCAAAATCCAAACGCGTTTAGATAATTGATAAAAACAGAAAAAAAATAATGTTTAAGAACTTTTGACTTTTATGGCTGTTTAGAGATTTTATAATACATATATATATATATCTATATACTAATTATATAAAAATAACGGTATAAAACATAAACATTTTTCGTAAATTATTTACATAACACACACACACACACATATGAATGTACTCAACACCCACACACACACACGCACATGGGACACACATTTGCCCATAGAGAAAATTCCCCTTTTTTGCGACCCCAACGAAGCAGCCGATACCCTAACTTTAGGGCGCTGCGGGGCAGTCCTCAACCCTAAATCAATTTCTCTCGGATATCACTTTTTCTTATAATCTCTCTCTCTCTCTTCCCCTCTCTCTCTGTGTGTAACTGTCGGGGCTTTTCGATAGGCTCTGGACAGGCAGTAAATCCCCTTTTTGTAGCGAATAGAGAAATGATTAAAGAATCAAGAAGAAGAAACATAAAACAAACGAAAATTGTGAAATTTAGTGTCTTTACACTTTAAAGAGTATATACAAAAAAGAAAAACTTAACTAAGTATAATTGAATGTAGATGATGGCCTCGGCGCCAATATTCGTATAAGCATAACTCACACAAACACAAACACACACATACATACTCACAGAGAAGGCAACCAATACATATACACACACACTCGCACACACACACACACACAGATACGGTTACAAATACGTTCGCATACAAATTATGATACATACTCCGTACATATGCCTAAAAGGATAAACGTGTAGTAATCTACGACAACAACAACAACAACAAAAACAAAACAAATAAATGTCTATATATATTACGTATATGGAAAATATAAAATACAAACGATTAAAAAGAAAAAAAAAAAAAACAAATACTAAAAACAAAAACCAAAATTATCAAAAGATAAAAACAAAGAGTTTTAATAATGAAAGGGCAAACGATTTTTGAAAATATTAAATTATATATTTATGTAATATTATAAATATTATCAAAAGTAAGTACTTAGTACCCTGATCTGGGCTTACAAATTTAAATTGTTACCTTCGAAGGTTATCCTAATGTATATGTGGGTATGTTTGTGTGTTAGTGTATGTATGCATTTATGTATGTATGCATGTATGCATGCATGCTTGATTTCTAATACCAAATGCAGTCCAAACTTATTTGTCGCTGTGCTGCAAATTTAAATGAAACGCATTTCTACGAAGTGCTCTCCTCCTCGCTTCTCAAGAATTCAAGCAGGCCTTGCTGAAATTCAACAAGGCAGGAAACGTTGGCTCCAAAGCCCTGTGGAGGAGGAACTTGTGGCGGTAGAGCAGGAGGCGGCGGCGCAGGAGGAGGCGAAGGCGGTAAGTGGATATGTATGTGTAGATATATGTACATGTATGTAGTTGTATGTAGATGTATGAAGATGTATGTAGATGCATGTATTGAGATGTATGCAGATGTGTATATTTAGATGTATATATGTATGCATGTATGTATCTATGCATGTATGTATGTATGTATGCATGCATGTATGTATGTATGCATGCATGTATGTATGTATGCATGTATGTATGTATGTATATATGCATGTATGCATGTATGTATGTATGTATGTATGTATGTATGCATGTTTGTATGTATGTATGTATGCATGCATGTATGTATGTATGTATGCATGCATGTATGTATGTATGTATGTATGTATGGTGTTGGTTAAAGTGTGTGTAGAAATGGTACCCTCACATATCCCATTTAGACATACATATGTATATAGGTCATAATTTCCCATCCCCATTACTCGGTCAAATCTCAACCGATTTCAACAAGGTTTGGCTCTTTGTTTATTGTATTTAAAATCACTAGAACTGAATGCCATTACCGTTTATATTTAAGCGGAGTATTTTTTTCAGTCAAAAAAATGTACTTTAGACTGATAAAACTGTTGACTTGTAGAGGTCCTTTGTATGCTGGTTTCAAGGTTAAAAATTGTCATATGTTTGTGAAAACTAAACTTATTTTTATGATATCTAGCAATTGCTTTGTAGTTTATCCTCCAATTGGTATTAAAGTCCAAAAAACTAGAATTCTTTTTATTATATTTTCCTAAAATTGTTGTGTTTGCTTTAATTTTGTTTCAGTAAAAAAATAGACTGTCAAATGTTTTTAAACGAAATCTACTATAGTAGACGATGTAAGTTCAGTCTGCAAAATTCCAAATCGTCTTTAGTTTGCTTACAGAATCCACAAATATTTATTAGAGTACCAAACAGAAAAGGATACGACAATAGTACTATAATAGTCTATGGTGATATATTGTAACGGAGCAATTATTTTCCATAGATTCCGATAAGTGAGTAGCTCCGTAATCTTTGCGCCCCGTTAGCTGCAGAGCGTGCTCCTAAGTATTTATACTGCTCTATGTTGTTGTTTAAGTTGATCATGGGCCAAACATTATCTGAACCGGTCACCACCAAGGATTCGGCGCGCTGCGCGAACTCCTCCTTTCTGGTGGGCAGCAGCTGTATGCAGGGCTGGCGCATCGAAATGGAGGATGCTCACACACATATACTCTCGCTGCCGGATGATCCGGCCGCCGCCTTCTTTGGTGTCTATGACGGGCATGGCGGAGCGGCTGTGGCCAAGTTTGCTGGCAAGCATTTGCACAAGTTCATTACCAAGCGGCCGGAATACTTTGGCAGCTCCGTGGAGCTGGCCATGAAACGTGCCTTTCTCGACTTTGATCGCGAGATGCTGCACAACGGCAGCTGGGGCGAGCAGATGGCCGGCTCGACGGCCATTGTCGTCCTGATCAAGGACAAGCGTCTGTATTGCGCCAATGCCGGCGACTCCCGTGCCATTGCCAGCGTGGGCGGCATTGTGCGTCCCCTGTCTGTCGATCACAAGCCCAGCAATGAATCTGAGGTGAAGCGCATCGTGGCCGGCGGCGGTCGCGTGGAGAACAATCGCGTAAATGGCAATCTGGCCTTGTCGCGGGCTCTCGGCGATTTCATGTACAAGCGCAACACCAGCAAGAAGCCGGAGGAGCAAATCGTTACAGCCGATCCAGATGTTATGGTCTGTGACATTGGCGATGATTGGGAGTTTGTTGTGCTCGCCTGCGATGGCATTTGGGATGTGATGAGCAGCACCCAGGTGGCCGAGTTTGTCCGCGAACGCATCGCAGCCGGCATGCAGCCGGATCTGATATGTGAGCATCTAATGAGCTATTGCCTGGCGCCGAACGCCTACAACTATGGCCTTGGCGGCGACAACATGACCGTCATCCTGGTCTGTATGCTGCATAACAAGTCCTACGATGATCTGATCATACGCTGCGGCGGCACCAAGAGTTCATCCCTTGAATCCGGCGTGGGCGACATTGGCCCACCTCTTAAGGTATGTAGAAACTGTGATACTTTTCTCTAAATAATATAGTTATCTGTATGGGGGCATTGGGTTAGTATCCATTGCCCAAAGCTACTCCAAGCAGCCGCAACCTGGAGAATGCCTAACTTGGCATCTTATGGATCGGGGATTTGCAGACTTTGTTTATTTGTTTATCGATTCGAATTCTTTTGGCATGCCGTTTTCTGTGAAAGTTTCATCCATTACCGACATATACTTTTTGTACCTACCATATATATATATTATTGGCTTCGAGATACATATATCAGCCCAATCACAGGAGATTAAAAATTTCAAGTCGGATATGCTTTTAGTCAACCGTTCAACAGTTCAACAATTCAAATGCAATAAAAATCTTGACCTCAGCCAAAATGTTTATTTCAAAGAGAATTTTAAACAATCGCTAGATGGCGCTTTTGTCGTTTTTATGTGGTAATCTGATTTTGTGGAAAAACTTTGTCAAATACTCGAATAGAAACTAGCTCGACTGATTGTTCCTTTTGTATCTTTGTCAGCTATACTATATAGTTTTTTCGATTCTGTTCTTAATCAATTGCTGGGTTTTCAGAGCTACGAAAATAATAAAAAAGAAAGTATTGGTGGTTCGGTTTTCAATGCGAACTAACTCCCTGTCTTTAGGTTTGGTTATTGATTCCCGCTTTCTGCAACCCAGAACTTAGATATTCTTTCAAGCCTGGACTTGTCATATATTATACTTGCACTGAACCAGTAAAAAGAAAAATAGCGGTTCTGCATGCGGCTTTGCAATTTCTTCTAGGCAACTCGCTTGGTTAAAGGTTCGGGCTAGGATAGAAAAGTTTTTGGTTAAAAATCGTCAAAGTGGCCTCTGTAAATAAATAGAAAAAATTCTATATCTCTCATTTTCAGGGATCGTTGGATCACTCGTTTAATTTGAATAAATGTGCGTTTCTATAATACATAATGTACTCTATATGTCTATGAATACATATACATATTCATGTACAATATCTTTGGTCTGTTTTAGCTGTAGGTTCTGTAGAGTATACAAAATGCAGTGAGTCGAGAAAGAAAAGCAAAATATAAACAATACAAGTAATAATACAAAGAGCTACAAGAGAAAAATACACATAAATTTACAAAATAATCGCAAGATTTGACAAATATACAAAATATATAGGCATCTATCTATACAAATATATATTTATATATATTTATATGTGTGTAAAGTTTTTGTGTGTAGAGGCTAATTAGTGTTATGTCAATTATTATTGCACCACATGCGGCCGTAAAGTGCTTAAAAATAACGCGACACATGCATCGAATACCGCACCGACCCCGCGACCTCCACCACCACCCCGTGTGTCGCTTGAGGGGGGCGGCGGAGGAGGCGTGGGCGGGGGTCAGTGCGTTCGGCACACGCTGCATTTTAAAGATACAAGACTAGAGATTCGCTCGTTCTTGGACTTCCGTGCTGATGCAGGAAATCGCAATGCCTTAAACAAAAGAATTCTTCTTCCTTTTCTTTTTTTAAACGTATTTTCGTATTTGGTAAATAATATATATGTATTTACTAAATATGTGTGTAAATTCTAAAATCAGCGACTCAATTAAATCATACAGTGTATATAAATCGCATATATATATATGTTGTCTCTCCCTATATATATATATATATAATGTGGTCTAAAAGAAAAAAATACTGGTTACATGTTTTTTCTGCAAGTCTCTAAATCCTCGTTACAACTAAGTGTAGATCGATCGATTAATTAAGTTCTGTCAACTGATGTAATTATTATTATTTTTTTTTTGGAATCGACTACTCTCTAACGGTACTTTAGCTCTTTTCTCATATTTATCACATATTTGTTTACTACAATAAGCTCCTAAAAATCGAATGCAAAATGGGTTTTTTCTCTTTTGTTATTGTTTTTGGTTTGTTTTCTTGTTAATATTTGGTTTTGTTTTGTTTGTTTTGTTTTTTTTTTTTCAAAATTCTGTAAATCTCTCTCTCGCTTGTCTTTTTACAATCAGCTGGCAGGCTGAGCTTGTCTAGGCGACCATCGCATAGTTGCCCGTCAGCTCGAAGGGACTCGTCTTGGCCGAATGCGTAAAATTGTTCTTGGGCGAAAAGTCAACGGGCTGCTCCTGATCCGCCGCCGCCGCCGCCTCGCTGCCAGCCGACTGTGCTCCGGCATGTCCATAGTGCTGATAGGGCAGACCCAGAGGCAGCGGCAGCGGCAGCGGCAGTGGCAGCAGCTGCTCCTGGTACAGCGCTCCGGGATGCTGCAGCACGGTTGTCGGTTGGAGCATGCCACTGCGCTTGTAGCTCTCGTAGTGCTCCAGTTGGGCGGCAAATGCCTCCGCATGCCCAGCAGCTGCCGGATAGCCATAGGCCAGCGCAGCCTGCGCCTGTGCCTGAGCTTGAGCTTGAGCTTGGGCCTGAGCTTGTCTGCGTTCCTTCTCCTTCTGCAGCAGCTTGTGCGCCAGCGTTGACTTGGCCGAATCCGGCAGAGATGTGCTTGTTGTCGTTGTTGTTGCTGTCGCCTCCAGTTCCGGCTGCTGCTTGGACATGGAGAGCAGCTGGGCGGCACGCGGCGCCGCCTCGCCGCGATTCTTCATGCAGGAGGACTCCTCGTGCTTGTACAGATACGACTTGAGGGCAAAGGCCTTGCCGCAGCGGGCGCAGGTGTGCGGCTTGGTGTTCGAATGGGTTTGTATGTGGGCGCGCAGATTCGATTTGTCCGCAAAGGCCTTGCTGCAGACGCTGCACTTGAAGGGCTTCTCGCCCGTATGGGTGCGTATGTGGCCCTGCAGCAGCCAGGGCCGCGAGAAGCACTTGCCGCAATACTGGCACTCGCAGCCCTGGTTATGGGTGCGCACATGCATCGAGAAGGCCGGCATCGACACGTACACCTTTTCGCAGTAGGGACAATGTCGCGCCTTCTTGTCCATAATTGACCTACGATTTGATAAGAGAAACAAAATTTGTTAAAACAGATTGATATGTTTTTTGATGTGAGTCAAACAATTTGGTTTTTTTTTTCATAAAAAACTACTGCTTTTTAGGATTTGCTCCTACTTCGAATGTGGCTCAGTTTCTTATTAGCAGCTCCCAAACAAAATTGAAAGTTGGTTCGGTTCAAGGTTTGTAAGCCGAACTGCCAGATCCTTGAATTTACTTGAAGCTCTTGTTTCGAACCTTTTTGTCAGCTTGTTGCTGGCGACTTACCTGTGGGTTTGTCTATGGCGCGCCAGATTGGAGGATGTGGAATACTTCTTGCCGCATTCGGGGCAAATGTGCTCATCTTCGAGCAAATTGCTGGCGGTGCTGCTGTTGCTGCTGCAGGGCGTGGCCTGGTTGGGCGACTGCTCGCTGGACTGGCAGCTGCTGGTGCTGGTGATGCTGGCGCAGGAATTCGAGTCGGAGATGGTGCAGCGACGCAGTTTCCTGCGATCGAACACCTTGTGGCTGTACGAGTTGTAGGTGGAGTCATCGTCGGATGAGGCATAGAATATGCTGCTGCTGCTGCTGCTGCTAATGTTGTTGTTGTTGTTGTTGCTGCTGGGCATTGGCTTGCTGTACGCCGCAGTTTTGGCTGGTGCGCTGAGCGGTCCGGCCGCCAGTGTCACATCGGCCAGCTGGGTGAGATTGTACAGTTCCTCGGGTATGGGCGTCGCCTTCCTCATGTCTGCGTCTGCAAAACAAAAGAGACAAAAGCGACATCAGCATTTGGTTCGATGTGCGGCGCGGGCATGACGTATGGGCCAGAAAGGTGAAGCAACCTGCTAAATGCGCCACGGATGCGTCATTAACAACGCGACGATGACAGCCACACGGGCGAAATTTAAATCAAAACAACAACAAGAACAGCAACAAATTCTAAAGATTATAAATATTTTCGCTATGTCGCAGACAAAACTAATACATAATTTAATGAGCTCTCAGCATTCTAGTTGCCCTGCCCAGCCGCCGGGCATAACGCTGCCCGAGCACAGCCTGTCGCTGTCGGACGTGTGTAGGGTATAGAAAAAGCGAATATTTCATATTTATTTCGTCAATTTATAATTAAGGACGAGCCAAGAGGCCAGCATGGCTGTGCCCAAAGTCGTTGCAGCATTCAGCGTCGTCACCTTGTCGTTTGCCTGAGGTTGCCTCCGCCTCTGCCTATGCCTCCGCTGCTGCTGATGCTGCTGCCTGCCACACGGGGCGTATGATTAACGTCAGCAGGCATCGGCATCGGCATCGGCATCAGGCACCGGCATTCGCAATCGCACTTGTTGGCTGCTCGCTGTTCGCGATCTTAGAAATAAATTCACGTCGAAATGCGCATAATTTGTGCATGTTGTCTTGGCATTGATTAATCTCGCACGTAATTGCCTCCCCTAACAGCACAGCCCACCTTCACACTAACCTGCCCACCTGCCCACCTGCCTAACTATCTATACGTTCTAAACTGCAGACAGGCAGGTGGAGCGTCATCTACATTTATTATATAATATAATAATAAAGAATCTAAACACTTCTCACTGGCAGCTAAGCTTAGCCCGGCTTTTACAACAGCTTGTTAGCTGCTCAGTTTCCTGGGCTTAACCTTACTTACTTTCAATATATTCACCTTTGAATTTAATAAATAAATATATATATTTATTAATTGTATTCCAAATTGTTCATCAAGATATGACATTCTTTTTTGTCCTCTTCAATTCACTTTAAGCATTTGCTTGGATCTTTTTCCTGAACAGATTGAATAGACCTTGATCCATAATAAATATATTCAATATTAAAATGTTAATATTATATTTTCAAATTTTGAAAAATTTTTTGTTCTGAATTATATTTAAAATTTATATTTTATATATATATATTTGTTTTGGTACTTTCTTTCCCTAACCTGCCTTATTCCAGTTATATTTCAAATATTTCAGTTCCTTCTCTTCAGTTGTTTATTTTTGGCATTTTAGTGAGCATTTCGTTGCGTATTTGTTAAAATTTCTGTGTAAAAATATAATTGTGAACATTCCGTGAATTGGACAAAGGGCAGTTTCATCACCTGCATACCCTATAATAAACGCAACCATATTCAATTGGCCAAGCAATCAAATTTTATATTTCCGATCGCACTTCGCTGTTGTTTATTGTTGAAAGTTTTCTCTTTACTTTTTCGTAATCGTCTAAATAATCGATTATTTCGTATGGCCGCAACAACAACAACAGATACCAGGAGTGGAAGGGGGTAGGGTGTGTGGGGGGTTGGGGTATGGGGTCTTTGTCTTGGGAATATACGCGTTGCGGAGGTCATGTGCGCGTTTGCTTATTGTTTGTTTTTCTTTTGTAGCGGGGACCTGAGGCCGGCCGCGTGATGTGGGCGTGGCTGCTCCCCAAGAAAAACCAGCCAGCCAAGAAAAAGAAAAGTCGCTAGTTGGGCAGCTGGGCAGGCATTTGGCCTAAACACATCGAGCTGCCAGACTTTTGCAACCTGTTGCCTACTTTTGGCTTCCCGTTCTCGCATTTGTTGTTGCTGTTGCTTTAATAGTTGCTGTTGCGGTTGCCGAAAATGTTCGCAACGATTTAGATTCGTAGAGTACATCAAAATGTTTGTGCTCATAAAACTTGTGGCTGGATGTGCGCGCAGCGGCAGGTGGCAAAGAATGTGGCCCCCGCCCCCGTCCACCTCAGACGCCTACGCCCATGAAAATTCCGCATCTAAAGCAGCCCATCAATATTGGCTATGATGTATGCGAGTGGGAGAGCTGAGATCCGCACCAGACATATAAGTATGTGTAAATTGTGCCTTAACATTTATTTATACTTAATAATCGGCGGAGGCGCCCCCCCGTTGACATGCCGCAACCACCTGGTAATTTTCCCCGATTTAACCAGCATACCTGTTCCACAGAAATTTCAGCTAAATTATTTATAGTATTTTGACCAACAGCGATATTCGTCTGAAATTTGTTTTTGTTGTGGTTTTCTTTTTTTTTTTTTGTTGCCAATTTTTGATTCCGAAGTGGCCAAGACACAAAATGGAAACAAAGCTGACAAGTGGGAAAATTTTGGTGCTTTTTGGCGAAGACCTCCCCAAAAACGCTGGGCGAGGGACATGTCTGTGTGCAATGTTTTCGATGTCACACGAAGAACGAAAAGTCCGAAAGTCGCATGTTTCTCTGACAGGCCGTTAATTAATTATTCGTTGGCCCGTGCACCGATCGCAGTTCCCAGGCGCAGATCGCAGATCGCAGATCGGTAATCGCATATGACATCTCAAAGAGCAGGAAAAGCAACAGCAGCAGAACTGCAAACGTTAATTGGTGCAGGCCTCTGCAAATGGGCATTCAACGGAGGGGAATGAGGCATGTAACATGTGGCACATGTTGCTATATTCAAATCGAACCGCATTAATTTGGTTTAGACTATTTGAAGTTGATTATAGTCGAATTTAAGTGTCATTTAATGCTTTATGGCTGTTTTTGATGCATACATAAGCGCTTCATGAGTTGAACTTATTTGCAACAGTTGAAAAAATGTTTGCAAAGCAGCACATCGTTTACGAATAAGACACAAAGAGGAATAGGCGAGTTACAACAATGTGAGTGATAGTTAAACGTTTAAGAACGAGATACAAAGAGGAATAATCGATCAAATACACTCTCGAGAAAATGAGTTATAACAATGTTTGTGATAGTCAAACGTTTACGAACAAGACACAAAGAGGAATGTGCAAATGAGTGCTCTCTCGAGAAATAGAGTTGCAACAATGTGAGTCATAGTTAAACGTTTAAGAACGAATCATAGAGAGGAACAATTAATGAAATCCTTTCCCAAGCAAACACTGATTGTGATAGTCAAACGTTTACGAACAGGACACAAAAAGCACTCAGCAATTATGTGTGCTGAAAGAAAGAGAGTAAATATGCATTTGTATTCGCAGCATGATTTAAATTCGCACCAACAGATATTAATTTTAGGATTTAAAATCTATTAAATATGATTTGAATAAAACAAGATCGTGTCTGCTTAACTGCACAGCATTAATGCTCAGCTGTGCTTGGAAATCGTCGTATATCATCTTTTATAAGCCCAAATAATCGCAACTCGTTTATAATATTGTTCTATTATGGCAACAAGACAACGTATTTAAATTATTTACCACATGCTGCCTCTCATCAACTCGGTCGCCATAGCATGAACCATCCAAAAGTGTTCCGAGTGCATTCTGTAAACGCAACGCACAATGGACATGAAAATGCTTTTCTGTCTTTTCTTTTCTTTTTTTTTTTTTGTATTTTTACGGGTAAGAATCTGCGCAAAATGCTCTCGGCCCGAAGAAAGTTCAAAGTCCTGTTAATGTACACAAAGCAAAGAAATGTTAATGGCTGACGTGGAGGCGGGGGCGATGGCGATGCCAGAGGAGTAGGAGGAAGAGGAGGAGGCGGCGGCTGGCGACAGCGTTGGCCTCGGTGGCCTTTACCAACGGCCGGTGGCTGCGTGCCACGGGATCGAATGCGCGTTTGGACTATTTATAAACCGCAGCCAGGGCAGGAGAAATGCGCATAGTTTACATTTAAGTTCAAACTTGAAAATAAATGCACACATGCACAATAAACAAATGTTGGCCCCGCGTAGACGTGGCAATGCGGCGCCTGCTGTGCTGGCCGGAGTGTCAATGCCAGGACTTGCCGCCCTCCCCCCCTCCGCCTACCCCTTCTGCATGGAATGCACAGCAACATCGACTTCCTGAATACCCTGGCCCGTTGCGAGTTGATCTTTTGTTTATAGATCAATCAACGCCGGACTCATTTGGCGTCGCATTGGGCACATGTTTACGCCACCTAATTATAAACAATATCAGTCCGGGCCAACGGGACACAAAGGATCTCTGTGTTATTTAGGGTGGAAGTCAATGTAAATATCCCATCAGTTGGCTCCGACGTTTCTGGTTTACCTGTTTAATTTACCTGTGGCATGTGACTGACTAAGATTTGCAGGCTGCAGTTAGATTATATATACTATGGCATATAGTATTATAATTATTTTTGTAATTTGTCAAGTGTCTTTACTATAGGCTACAAATTATCAACCTAACCGAGCCTAATCTAAGCTGTCTCTAAATGTATCTTTATCTACCCTGGGGGTTCGAACCTTCTTGTTCGGCTGCCTGCATGACTGTGATTTTATTTACTTGGAAATTTTTGTTTTTCAACACTTTTTCTGAAATTCTACGCAGTTTCTTCCGTCATAACGACGCATTTTATACACTGTATGACTAGGCTGAAAATAATTGGCCATATTACATATATATATATATATTTATACTATCCAAACTGTTTACGCAACTAACTAGAAAGAGAAGGCATGCGAAAATTGTCAACAGCTCTTTGGCTCTTTGGTTTTTGTTGTTGTTGTTGTTGTTGTTGCAGGGCAGTTGATGGCTGCATCCATCTGCTTGGCCCGATCATTGCCAATGCAAACACATTACTCACGTAAATGTCAAAATATCAAAGAAATCATAATATTAATTTAACAAGTGCGGTCCGAACTCTCCCTCTCTTTCGCTCTCCCTCTCGCCCTCTCACTTTGCGGGTTGTCGAGGCGATAATTTAAAGAAAAAATGTGCTCATGTGCCAACATTCGTCTTCAATATGTATAAGAATAGCCGCGGGGTGGACAAGATGATAGCAGAAGGGTTGCGTATTGGAGCAATTGTGTAATTCATAGACGAGTTAGAATGCTGGGCATGCCCACATAAACATAGGGTATACGCCCAATTTTAGATAACATATAGTTACAAATTATAAATCCAACTATTTAATATACCGCTTCGCCTAAGACTACATCCTGGGACTCAAACCCGAATGTACCCTTTTCAGTTTTAGTTAAAACTACTCGAGTCATTCACTCGAACTATGCGGTTCGAATGCGTACTCACCCTGGCAGTAACGAGTGCTGTGGATCAGGAAGCGAATCCGTGAGAGACCCCTCTGCGGGAGGTTAACTGAAGCGTGCTCAAGCGGCGCCGGTCCAATGGGTTGAATATATGTATGTTGCTTGGTTCGCGATGCGAACTGATGATTCAGCCAGAATATGTTTGGGTGTCGATGCGAAATCAATAATATATCACCACGCACTACACCCTGCCCCTGCCCCTTGTGGGTCTACAGCCTCGCTGTCAAAATGTTCTTGCTCGTTGTTGCGTCTGGGCTACACACGTATTTCACGAAATTTCATCACAAGCAAGGAACAATAACAAAAGAACTGTGCACCAGATACAGATACAGATACAAATTGAGATACAGCTTCAGATACGAGATACAAGTAATGCACAAGTGTTTTTGGCCCGACTACTGATCCGATCCTCACCAATTGCTATACGGATCACAGGCAGGCAATGTTGTTGCACGGTACGCGCGCTCTCTCGCACTCTCTCTCTCTCTCTTTCTGTTTAGTACGAACGCAACGAGATCCCAGAAAGAACTGAACTTTCACGGCGCTGGCACTTACAGTTTTTACATCGCTGCTGCCGTCGAGGAGGTGACGATGCCGCCGCCGGCGTCGCCGACGACAGCCGACAGCCAGCCGACAGCCAGCCGACAGCCAGCAGCTGTTTGGCCGAGGATCGACCGAATGCGTCGCGGAGAGCGTCGCGTATGCGCGCCCCAATGGAACAAGTGTGTGCGGTTTAAAAATAAATTGAAAATAATGTTTTTATTATACACGCTCTCTCGCTCTCTCCAACTTTTGCTCTTGCTCTCGCTCTCTCGCAGCAGCCGCGCACATTTTCCAAAAGGGAGCCAAGCGCGCACACACACACACGCACACACACACCGACATTTTCGCCGTGCAGCGGGCAAGGACCACTGCGCAGAATATTTTTCTAACGCAGCGTCAAGTTGGCAGCCAGTGTCAAAAACCTCACAGAGTGCTGCTCCGATCGCCGATGCCCCCATGCCGCAGCAAACCCTAACCAAAGCGACGGCGACGGCGAAAGAGAGAGAGCTAGGCAGAGCGAGAGAGAGAGAGCAGCAAACGCAGCGCCGCGGTTGGCAGCTTTTGCCGGTTCGGATTCGAATTCTGGGGCCGTTGATGGTGACGCAGTCGGGCAATTTGGCATTTTGAAATGGCTTTTTGTACTTTGGTGTGCCCATCCAAAATAGATTCGCTCACCTGCCGCAGTCACCGCCAGCCCCCACCCCCTCCCACGACTGGCCAATCCCTTTTCGAACGAACGGATACCTCACAGGTGTTGTCGGCAGCTCTCAACATTTGACTAGCTCAAGCGTAATGAACTTAATGTCGCTCTGTCAGGTGTGTTGCCTCGGCAATGGGACTTTGGCGGGGAATTGGGCATCGTACTTACGTATGTATTTGCCATATTCTATAATCATACCGTATTCTATTTGATTTATGTCTCTTCTATGCACGTTGTTGTCGCCTTGATTCGGTTCTGGTTCTAAGTGGATTTTGTTGTTGTTGCCCCGAGATTTATGTAGCTGCAGTTGCAGTTGCACGCATTAAATATAGACGCATTTTTTTTCAATTGAAAATATTGAGCGATCGTAGACAATATTTATTGGTCAATAACAATTTTAACAATAATTAATAACAATTTTGCGCTTCTTTCGTCTTTGAGGCTATAAAATCGTATATAAAAGCTGTAGGACATCCTTAGTTCTTATCGCCGACCAATTAAGCTTTTAAAAGTACAGGATCTTGAGATCCGCGCGGAATTTATCAATACTTGAATTGTTAAACACTACTCAAACTACTCAAATTTATTATCGATATGAGTTATCGATTATTAGAAACTCTACTCTATAACACAGTTAGTTGAGCTTTGCAAATTGGGCCGTGCTGTCGGATTTGATGGGCATTTTCGCACTTTTGCGGCCTCGACCCACGCAATTTTGCAACAAAGAAAATGGAATGGATGAAGATAAAGATGTGCGATCCACAGCTGAAGGCGTTGTCTGGCGCGAAAACATGGAAATGCAATTTGAATAGGGTCAAGTTGGGCCAAGAAAATGGCGAGACGGGCGACAAAGCGCCTACGTGAGGGCGCAGTGGTTGCTGTGGGCGGAGGAGGAGGAGGAGATGCAGATGGAGATGGACTCTTTATAGGGGTAAGCAATGTGACATGTGCTAAAGACATTCGTGGCAGTCGACTTCGACTTTAATCACGGCAATTAATAAGAGAGAGAGAGAGAGAGAGCACAAAGGAAGGAAGTGACAGCCTGACAGCCGTAGAGTCCACGATAAGCCAACGCCTCAGCTGTGTTAAGCATCACCCAGAGCGCTGCGATTCTCGAAAGCGACGCGACTGGCGGCCATAAATCTATTTTGGTCCTTTGCTGCTGCTCCAGCAGCAGCCGATCTCCCTCCAGGGGCCGGGTGCCACACTTGCTGCGCAATTGCAGTTGCAGTTGCAGTTGCAGAAGCCGAGTCGCTTTTTATTTTTAACTGGCGCGATACATTTTTGTGCTGGGCTCCAACGGTTCTTTGCGTAGGTAAAATGCAGCTGGAGATGCGGCTATAAATTCCGACGCTTTTCCAATTATTTACACAGATAAATAAGCGAAATCGCCTTAATGTGAAATTCAACAGGCAGACAATAGGAAAAAAAAAGAAGAAACAGAACAAAATGGGCGAAAAAAAAGAAGCAAAATATTTCGCATTTCGCTTTTGTGTAAATAATTTTATAATCGATTTCAAATGAAAGTCTTTAGCTTGCGGTTCCATAAATTATCCGTTAATCTCTTTCGAATTGCTCAGAGTTCGTTGCGTTCCCATATAATGCCCCCCCCCTCACCCCTTCCCCCTTCCGGCAACAGCTCGCGCCTTGGACCACGTGATGGTCAAATTGATCTTTCTTGTAGATCTGAGATCTTTAGCTACTCAAGTGTTTGCCATTTCGTCACCCAATTCGAGCAGCGCGTCCTGTTTACAGGAAACTTCTTGTTGTTTAAATTACGGACAATTACTCAAAACATTGTTTAGATCGGCAGGCAGCGGTTTGCTCTTGGTGATCCGTAAAGTGGTCGCCCTCGGGCCCCTCGAGCTGGGCCGGATATGCTTGTAATTCCTGCACCAGGTCGGAGATGCGTTCGAAGTCGGGGTCGCGAAGCAGAAAAAAAAGAACTACACCATAAAGTTCTATTTATAAGGCGAACGCCAAGTTTTGATTCCGTGCCGGATTTCAATTGGGGGAGTTGTCGAGAGACAAGGGGGGCGCGCGAGTGGGAGGGGCTCGAACTCCAAATGTGCGCCGGCTAAATTTGAATGTGAAGTGCAAGTGAAGCGACCAAAGATTCCATAGGTGGCTGCCACTTTGCGCTAGGCAACAGGCGCGGACGGGTTGCCCCCACCCCCCTGTTTGGCCTGTGCCGCCGCCACTTGAGAGAGAGAGAGGAAAGAGTGAGGAAGGGGGGGGGATAGCAGTAGCACGCGTCAGGAAAGAGTGCAATGCATCTGGCAACCTGCAGCCGCATCCAGCAGCATGGCAAAGATACGCATGGCAGGCATGTATGCGCACACATACATGCATACATGTGCACACATACAACCATACGGCTACCGTGTTAAAATTCAAAGAAACAAAAGCGGAAATGTTGTTGTTTTCTTTATTTTTAACAGCAACAAGGCAACAACTAAAACAAAAACATCATCCACATCATCATTGCTATTGGATGCTTTTATATGGCAATTGAAATGTTTTGGTCATTGAACTTTCGTCTTGAATTAGATGTATCAGTGGCGACTGTTTTTATAAGTTAATATGTGCCTATAAGTTACATATGTATATATTGTAGTTTTTGAATGGTCGGCAATTGCGTTGCCAACCACATGCATTCGAGTAACACTGGCAATCGTATAACAGCCCTGTCCATCAGTTAACAGTGTCAACTGTGCATAGCAGTCTGTTAAAAATGGTTAACTGCTTTTACAAAATGTATGTAAGAAATAACTTTTTATTCCAGTAAATACGATACTAATCAACATCCGGCTCTATTAAGAAATTTTTAAAATTATTATTTATAACATAATAATTTATAGTAAGCCACAAGATCGTCATTGTTTCGACTCGGGTTCCGCGAGCACCTGAAAAGCATAATCGGCACTTTAATTACTTCTGCTTTGATTTTATACAAAAAAATGAATACTTTGCCTTCTTCATTCTCTTGTTTTGGCTCATCTGCTGGCTCTGCTGTTGGCTCTTCATTTCGTTCTTCCTTTGCCTCTTGTTTTGGCTCATCTTTTGGCTCTTCTTTTGGCTCAACTTTTGGCTCATCTTTTGGCTCTTGTTTTTGCTCCTGTTTAACCTCTTTTATGCCATTAAAAACTTCAAATGTATATCCTTTCGATATACAGAATGCCAGCGCAGTGTTATCAATTACAATTTTACCAATATCATGACAGAAAACTGTGGGATCATCAGTGTATTCATACCTGTTCCTTTCGGCTACATCTCTAGCTATTTATACATATATATACATCCAAAAATAGGAAAATAAGTATACTGATGACATGTTCATGTAACATATTCAGTTAATTACATGTATGTACATTTTTAATCATTACCATTATACTCAATTTTATCTTACCAAGATCGATTATATAACCGACGTTCGCTGAACGTAAATTCTTACATCCTATAGCGAACTTATGCTCAATTTCGGGTAATTTGACATAGTAAATATATGATCTTTCATCCGACTGATCGTAGTACATTACGATAATCATAACGTTACTAACTTTGATATAAGGCTTTAAGTAGGATAATGTTGTTTCTAGTCATTATTTTCATCGCCTGCCCAACTGCCCCCTTTTTAAATTTAAATTTAACAGCTGTTAGTTGGCGCCAATTTCGCGATACCTAACAGAGCCTTAACAGACCCATGCTAAACTATCGATATTTCTCGCGTATCGACCATGTCCGCACGATATTTCTAGTTATCGCGAAGTTGTCACAACAATGTCATATTCGTGTTAAGCATCAGCAATTTGTGAAATTTACGTGCATAAAGTCGCGAAAAACTATGAATTCTTATTAACGTTGTTGAAAGGAACCTGAAAAACTTGTCGCAAACAGTTTGCAAAGTTATTTTACAGCCCTTGCAACATACAGAGACAAATATTTTCTGCTTGCAAAAAACATGGCGCCCACTCCGCTGCCACTGGAGCAAATGCCCGGTGCGAATGCGGGCTATCTGCCAGCCGGGCAGGAGGGAGGACCGCGCATCAATACCATGTCCATGTCAGTGCTGATCGATTTTATTATCCAGCGCACCTACCACGAGCTGATGGTCCTGGCCGAACTGTGAGTAGACCAGATCTAGTTGATGCTGCGACTGACGACTCATTATTTATCCTACAGATTGCCACGCAAGACGGATATGGAACGCAAGGTGGAAATTTACGCGTATGCGGCGCGCACGCGGCATTTATTCACACGGCTCAACGCTTTGGTCAAGTGGGGCAACTCGGTGTCCAAGGTGGACAAGAGCTCGCAGATTATGAGTTTTCTGGACAAGCAGAACATGCTGTTTGTGGAAACGGCCGATATGCTGGCTCGCATGTCGCGCGAGACGTTGGTCCGGGCACGTTTGCCCAACTTTCACATACCCGCTGCTGTCGAGGTTCTGACCACGGGCACTTACAACCGTTTACCCACTTGCATTCGGGAGCGCATTGTGCCGCCGGATGCCATTACGCCGGCAGAAAAAAAGCAAACACTGTTGCGCCTGAATCAGGTCATACAGCATCGTCTAGTCACTGGGAAATTGTTGCCGCAAATGCGCGAATTTCGAATACGCAATGGACGTGTCACGTTCGAGGTGAAGCACGAGTTCAGCGTGGCCCTCACCGTCATGGGCGACAGTCCGAATGTGCCCTGGCGCCTGCTGGACATCGATGTGCTGGTTGAGGACAAGGAGACGGGCGGTATGAGACTTCAAACCAACTTTATTCTCCCAACTAATTTATGATTTATCTGTTGCCGATAGACGGAAAGTCGTTGGTGCATCCGCTGCAGGTCAACTACATACACCAACTGATACAGGCGCGTCTCGTGGAGAATCCCAATGCCTTGAGCGAGGTGTACAATTGCCTGCACTATTTCTGCCAGTCGCTGCAGCTGGAAGTGCTCTATACGCAAACGCTCCGCCTGAATTACGAGCGTCTCGACGACAACAATATCACTGTGGAGGAGTATGTGCCTGGCGTTAAGCTCACGGTGTCGTATTGGCGCGATCTCAAGTCGGAGCTGGGCTACCGCCTTACGGTTCAATCGGACCCCAGCGAAATCGGTCGGCCGCTGGTCGTTGTTCATGTACCCTCACTGGGCGCCAAGGAGTCCGCCGAGGTGGCCGATCGTGCCGTGCGTTCGGAGCATCTCTCCATGGAGCGCTTGATTGTGCACACTGTTTACATACGTTCCGTGTCCCGTTTGAGTGATCTCAAGCTCGAGTTTCAGGCTTTCCTCAAGGACGTTGACTGTGAGTGTAAATGTGTATTCAGTTGTTTTGGCCTATTGTTATTTGGGTATTTTTTAATGCAGTTACTGATATATTTCCCTTTTTTTTAGTTAATCTGCAAGGCACACCAGCTATTCTGACGGTGCCCGTGCTGTCGCCCTGCTTGCGCGCGGAACAAATTCATATCACCATAGACACGCACACCGGCATGTTCCGTTGCCATGTGCCCAAGCACTTGGATTGCCCCATTACGGAAGAGATGCAGGACTGTTTGAATACGGATCGCAGCAAGCTGCCAGCATTGTTGTCGGAGCTGCGCTATTGGATCACTCATCGGCGCTGCGAAAAAACGCTACAACATCTGCCCGCTACGGCCACAGAGACGTTGCCCTTTCTCACTCTGCCCGAGCAGGAGCTGCTGCAGCCGGGCCGTCACAAGATCTATGTGAAGCTGCATCGCCACCCTAACATTATTCTGGTAAGTAAATATAAAATCTATGCAAGCAGCTCAACTTAAGCACTTTATCTTACCTTCAGGTGGTTCAATTGAAGGAGAAGCCTGCCATGCCCAACGAGATGGAGTATACGTTTCATCTGGGTTTTGTCGTCTTTCAAAAGGACGAAAACGATGTTGTGGATGACTCGGCTAAGCAACTGGTCTCCATTGTGGCTCAACCGCCATCAGAGATTCCCAAACTGTACACAAAACTGATGCGTCTCATCGAGTTTGACACTTTTGTTGCCACCCATGGACCCGGCACAGAGGTCGATGGTGAGTTTCATTTCATTTTACTAGCATACAGATGATAATTGTCATACGCTTCCAGCAGAGGTATCACCGCATAAGCGTAAATCAAATGGCGATATTCTAGCCCCGCCCGCCAAGCAGCAGAAGACCATTTTTCCGGCATATTTCATACCGGAGCTGGCGCATGTCGTGGCCATGTGTGATGAGAAGATACCATTCCTCAATCTGGCACAGACGCTCTCCAAGTACCGCATACCGCATAGCGGCCTGCAAGTGGAGGCGAATGCCACCTCGCTGGTGTTAAAGATTCTGGCTCTGCCTCAGCCAGGCACCAACAACCAGGCCACGACAGCAGCTGGCGAGCAAAAGCCGGCGCCGGCGCCAAGCACATCATCGGCGTTGCCCAAGATTGAGCCACATGTCTGGGATGATTTAATGCGACGCGTTCTGTCTATTTCGGTGCGCTCACAGACCAACAAGAATAGTCAGGTGCGCATCTGGGTGGTGGAATTTGTGTTCTACAGCACACCACTGCAGAGTACCCATCAGAAGGAGCTGGGCAGTCGTCGTACCATCAACCTAACCTACGAGCAGGCCAATCATGATTTTTCCAAAACGGTCGAGGATTTGCTTAACGACTGGTCCAAGATTGTCTACTTATACACGCTGGTTTACGATTTTGCCGAGCAGTTGCGCAACAGTGAGTGTCGCCTATTCCTGAGCTTATCTACATTATTTATTTATATAATTACTTATACAGAGCGACTAAGCCTGGGCGATATGCTGGTGGTCAAATCCTATACGTACGCCAACTTGCTGCTGGGGTATGGACCCAAGAAGGAGGTCACCTGCAATATTTACTGGTCTGTGCAGTCACACGGCTTTCGCCTAACCTTTGTGGGCGGCATCTCAGCGGTCAATGCGCACTCCATGATGCGTGATCAGCTGGCGCAGCATCTGAATCAACAACACAGTCTCACGACCATCGCTCACATACTGCATGAGACCTACAATCCCATGAGCTCCATAGCCAAGCTGCCTGTGCTGCCACTGCTGGGCATACCGGTGAGCATTAAAGCATATATATGTTATATACTTAAAAATATATAACACCTATTGTATTTACAGCGCCCGCAGGTGCCCGTGCTGTCGTTCTGCATGCTGCCACAGTCGCCCTGCCTGATGCGTTTGACCTACCAGGCGGTGTATTGCTTGGAGCTGCGTTTCCGCGCCAACCGGCTTGTTTCTATACGCGACGGCGCCAGCAGCCGTTTCGAGCGCAACGTCATCGAGGAGTTTACGCCCATTCAGGGCCTCAAGGCTTTCTTGTCCAAGTATGTGGATGAGTCGGCCGTTTACAGAGGTCGTGCGCCGCATGACGATGACAATCCGCTGTCGCCCATGGGTCTGGAGGATAATTTCGGCGGTCCGAGCAGTGTGACTGGTGTGAGCGCGGGTGGATCTTCGCCATTTTTGAGCGCCGGCATGCGCGGTCCACAGTCTCCACGGGATAGTGGTCTTCGCTTTCCCGCACCCCATACACCGCCCTCCAGCTCAAATCCGCACACACCGGCCAGTCCCCATCCCAGCGCTGGCGGCGGCGGCGGCGGTGGGGCTCAGAGTCATGCCAATTTTAATTTGACATCGCCACCAGCACCGCATATGCCGCATCCGTCACCTGGCGGACTGATGCCCTCATCGCCGCTGAATCCACAGCCCAGTCCACACATGGTGCACAGTCCGGGACCCAATACGCTGTATATGCAAAGCCATCAGGATTCGCCTTTTACAGCCATGTCGCCGGCAAACAACAATTGGCCGGGATCGCCCAGCATGCCGCGGCCTTCACCCCGGCCTGGGCAGAGTCCAGAGCACAAGAGCACAGGTGGCGGCGGCCCAGGTGTGGGTGCTGGCGATCGAAACGTCACCCGCGGCACACTCAACCGGCCCTGGGCTGGCGCTGTGCCCACGCTGCTAACGCATGAGGCACTCGAGACGCTGTGCCGTCCCAGTCCGCATCCAAACAAGGACATCAACGTGGCCGACATGAGCCCACTCGAACGCTTTTTGGGCTGTGTTTACATGCGCCGTCAGCTGCACCGAAACATCCAGAGCGAGGAGACATTGACGGCGCTTAACTCCACGGAGCCGGGCGTGGTGCTCTTCAAGGTAGATGGTCTGCAGTGCCAGGTGATGCTCAACCAGCTACACATGCAGTCGCTTCATCTGAAGGTTACCCAGCTGCCACCCATGCCCGACAAGCCCACCTTCCAGCTGAGTCCCGATGATCTGCTCGTAATCGAGCAGTACTTCGATACGCGGGTCGCTGCCCCGCCGTATCGTCCCAATGCACTGCACAGCATCTGTCGATTGTTGAACCTGCCCGGTCATGTGCTCAAGGATTTCGTGCAGATCATGCGCTTGGAGATGAAGCCCGAGCTCGGCGGCGATCAGCTCAAGTGGACCGTGCAGATGTGCATGCGCATGTCGCCCTCGGCGATGCCCATTGTGCCTATTGGCAGTGCCTGCGTGGTGCTGGGCCGCATGAAGATTCTGTTCTTCTTGCACATTACACGCATACCGTACAACGGCAAGGACTGGAAGGACAGTCCGTCACTGGTGCTACCCATTGTCCACGACATTGCCACAAATCTCACCCAGGTGGCCGAGCGGCGGGAGCAGGTGCAATCGCCCACAATGTCCGCTGCCAGCGCGCTGTTGCGTCGCTTTGCCGACTTCGGGGTGCAGCAGAATCAGTGCTCCCTCTTTCCGGCCGTCACAGAGCTGCTGACCAATCTGCAGATCACCACGGATCTGCCGCCGCCGCCGCCCAATCAGCCAATCGGGCCGCCTGTAGGCGTTGGCGTGGGCGTGGGTGTGGGCGTTGGAGTTGTGGGCTCTAGCCCAAATACGATGATGCCCATGCAGCAGCTGCAGCCGCAGGTCGGACATGGGCCGCAGCTTGGCCCGAATCCTGGCGGTCCGCAGTGATGAAGGCGCAAGCGCCGCGCCTCCTCGCAGCAGCCATGAGGCGGCATCCTGGCGCAATTGCGACCAACCCACTGAACACACACACACAGACATACACAAATTCCCAATCATCATCCGATTATTTATTTATAATACGAGACAAGTTTCAACATTCACTTGCGATAACATGCGACGAGAGTCAAAATCAAGATCAAGGTATATATCCAGAATAAACAATAAACAAATACACAATTATTGTAAAAAAGAATCCACTAAGTACATATGTAATAAATCACTAACTAACTGTAAAGCTAACTACTCTAATCGTAAGAGCTGTCTTATATAGGTTTTCCTTCTTTCTTTCTTTGTAGCTACATCGTTTATCACATGTGCCAGCTGTCTGGAGGTGTCGAGCGTTTCTGTGACTCCGAGGTTAGTAAATATGGTTGTAGTTAATATACCCTTGCTGTGATTTAGCAAAAAAAAAAAAGACCATAAAAGGCAACAAAAATCCACGTGGATAGGAGGAAAATGTGTGGAATGTAGAAAATAATTTGCATCAACTTTAAGCTAAGAATCGATATGGTACAACGGAAAACGAATTCACGGCACCGAGCGGAAAATAGGCGAAAAACGAATAGTTAAATTTTAAAAAACACGTAAAGCCGATTAATAATAGCTAGTATAAGATTTAGATCAAAGTCGTATGCTGAGCTCCGATCCTATTTGTGCGCAAGGGTATAAAAGATTCGGCCAGGCCGAATTGAATTACTCTTCAAACTGTTTTCGTTTTTGGCTTGATTGCTACTGCACCTGCGCTCCAGCTCCAGCGTCTCACTGCTGTGCCACGATCTGAGTGTTGTCCAGTTGGGTGGTCAGCTCGGTGATGCCCTCCTCCTCGTCGGAGATGAGATCGACCCAGTAGCGGAGCCGCTTGCTGCGCAAGTAGCTCGCGGAGTTGTCAAAGACGACGGTGTCTGTTAGAAAAGATGAGAGCAAGAAGTTAGAGCAATCCGGCAGCTGCGGGACTAGACTTACATGTGGTATTGGGTCGCGTGGAGATGAAGCCCGCCTCGTCCATTTCGTTGGAGTAGACGGTGCCGAGGGGCACTTCGCTGCGCTTCTCGCCCGTCTGCTCGTCCACGCTGTAAATGCCGAACTTGATGTCGTAGTCGTGGGTGCGGAAATTCCACGAGAGCAGCTGCTGCTCCACTTGGCCATTCACCTTGAAGTTCAGCTTCAGCTTGTCGCCCTTGGGCACCTGGGCCTCGGTGAAGTTCTTATCGCTCTGCTGGCTGCTCTGATCGATGTACAGCTCCTCGGGCAATTTGCCGCCCCAAATCATCAGGGATTTGCACTTCGGATCACCGAACTTGTCAACGAGCTGACCACCCCAGCATTTGGGAAACTTCTGGGGATCAACGTGCGAGAAGAGCTGCTGCTGCCACTTGTCCGATCCGGATTTGTAAATATGAATCTTGCTGGTCGTGTTCTCGTCCAGAAACTTCTTGACTATGTTAAAGGCCACCGAGAACAGCTTCGGTGCATTGATGATGTAGCAGCTCTTGAGCAGCTCCGGAAAGTTGGCCTCGTACTGCTTCACCGACGAGATGACGCATTCGGCCGCTGGCCGCCAGGCGAACTGCTTCAGGTTCATCGCTTCGCAGTCAAAGAAGACGACCAGCTGGCGCGCCTTCCAGCCGTGCTGCAGGCTCTGCTCGTAGGCGATCTTCATAAAGCGCTCTAGCAGAAGCACCAGATACTTTTGGAACTCGAAACGTGTGACGCAGTGCATCATGCCCCACATGTCAAAGTTGTAGAACGGACAAACGATCACTGTGGGCAATGCTAGAGTGAAATCCAGCTTTATATTAAGGAGAGTTTTTGTCACATACCTGGCGAACCTTCCTTATCGTAGCCCATGATGCCATACGGCAGATATTCGCGCAAGGCCTGCGGTGCATCCCACTTCTCAATATTGTCCACATTCCACATGGCGCGCGTCTTGAGGCACTGCGCAAACATAAAGATAAAGACTTAGGATCTGTTAAATATTTCTTTTGGACTTACAGCTTTAAGCATTTTCTCTGCCGCATCCAGGTTCCATTTGCGAGCTGTAGAAAGAGAGAGAGAGAGAAAGAGAGGGAGAGAGTTAACTGGTGGTTCCTTGGTTCCACAACTTTACCCACCTCGCAGCCAGCGTAGCAGGAAGTAATCATCATGCGTCTCGTTCAGCTCGGGGCTCATCACCTTGCGGAACTGCAATTAGGATTAATTAATTAATATGTTAGGAAAGTATTTCTAATCACAAGCTAATCTCCAACAACCTTGAATTGAGCTAATTTCGGATCGCACTCCCTAATCGGTGTATAAGCCCTAATCTTGGCCGATAGCTAAACCGTAAATAATGCGTATTTCAAAGTCAATTGATCGACAATCGCAGTCTTAACTTTATTTTGCTTGTGGCCTGAAAAGTCGTTAGCCTTAATAACTGTGAATTTAGACTTGCATCAATGCCAATTTGCTAATACCCTATACTTAAGCAGCGCGGGGTGTACCCAATCGCTGCATGCCAATTTAAATGAGCTGTATTTCCCACGCGTAAGGTATATATCAATATTTAAACGGCGGATACCAGTTTGAATACCCTATGTGTTATAGGGCGTGGGGTATGCTGATGCAGCTTAAGTGAAATTTTAACTATAATATATTATTCTATGTATGATATGATTGTGTGCTATCTATAATTACAACTATCAGTCTAATAATTATTTAACTCTGCTTATAGGAATCTCAGGAAATTTCGCCTGGAAAAGTTCTATATGGAACATATATTTAGAAGCCCCTAACAGGATAAAAATATAAAGAAAATCGATCTAAAAGTTGTCCAAGGTAAGGTAATTTTAAAATTCAAATTATTTCTGAATAGTTTAAAATATCTCAGGAAATATTTTAAAATAGTATAAAGTTTTTCTTAATTGTTCGTCATGATACTTGGTTCAGTCTGTTTCCCAAGTATGGTCTCCCTTTTGAAATGAACTTTTCTTTCTACACATAGAAACTTTTTACAGGGCATCTTCAAGCCACTGCTTTCATCTCAGTTGCTAAACAGCTTCTAGTCAAGGCTTTGAATTCATGCTTTAAAACTGACTCAGCAAATTGATTATTTTTGATTCAAGTTCAATCGAATTAACATCAGAGCAGGGAATGTTAACTGCATTTTATTGAAATTGTGGAATTGTTAACTGAAAACGAACCGCTAAATGATGTCGATTCTTTTGCTAAGTGTTTAATTTATGAATTATTCGGTAAATGCAATTGCACAATGCTTTATGTCCATATAATTTACATGACGTTTCGTGTTTTGACTGTTTAATTGAGCGCCAAACGAGCCGCGAAAACGGTTGAGTTTATTAACCACAGAGCTGGGCAAATACTCGACAATCACTTGGCTTAAAGCCGCTGAGCTTGGCTAAGTTTAGTTCAGGCCACACTTGAAATTCAATAACGAGGCCAGCTGCCAGTTTTGAGTTGTTTTTTGTATTTCTATTTTTTCATTTTCGGGCCTGAACTGCAGACCAAGCTTCTTCTTTTTGTTGAGACGTGGTCATTTGGCTTTTCATTTGTCGGCGGGGGGAGGGTGGTTGGTTGGTTGCGGCTCTTGGCGTGGTTTTCATTAGCGCTGAGCATTTTTGGTTAACTTCCTCATAACTCAGTCGCCTTGCAGCTGCCTGCTGCCTCGTTTGATGCGTTCTTTTGTTTTTCTAAGCGACTTGACCAAGTTTTTAAACAGTCGGCAGCAAAAAAAAAGAGGTACTTAGTAGTAAAAAAGGAAGGCTAAGAAAACATTTTGCTATTGCATGCTTACTTTTTGATAGTACCAAAAACGTAAGACTTAATTGGAAAGGAATTGAATGGATTATTTTTACTCATACAATAATTTCCCATGGGGAAAGTAAGAAATTCCCATTCAACCGCATTCCAATTATATCAACAAAGTATTTTCATTCCACACAGTCATAAGATTGGGAAAGAAGTGTTTAAAAAAGCTGCATTATTTTGCTTAGCAAATGGAAATGACCCTCCTTAAAGCATCTCATTTAAACATTTTCGAATGCATATAATTTATATATAAACTTAAGCTTTTGACAGACAAATGATATATTTGCATTTCAGCCTTGAACTACAAACATTTCATAACAACCGAATGTTATTTATTACTATGCACAACTTTATTTAGAGTCCATGAGAGTCGCAACATTTGGCAATTATTTTCCAGCTGTTACGGGGTATCCTCCAGTCATTCTAACTGCCAATTCTCAAATAGTCTTGTCGATATATGCAAATTTGGCCTTGACTCCTGGCCTTTTGCCCATTTATTAGCTCCTTGGTCTTAATCAAATATTGAAAGTATTCGCTTGACTATCTTACTCATTGGGTCTTTCCGTGCCAAGAAACCAGTTGTTGAAAGCTAAGACAAGAGTAGAAAGCGGCAGTCTAAGAGATACCCTGTTACTAGTCCCTTATTGCCTTAGTATATATTAGTATGTAATTGTATATCCCAAAAACAAATTAGTTAATTCTTAAGCTTGGGTGGAACTAGCACATTTGGTGTCTTCGCTCTATTATCTCTGAGGTGTGTTTAACATTTTGGGAACTGAAAATCGATATTTATTGAATTTGGACAAGTAGAATAATCGAGGAAATTAAATAGTTAAACATTTAGAATCCAGAACTTTTATTCCCAATTCGCAGAAACATGGTCGTCTCGTCTGTTGCTTCTGTTCACGCACATATATTCTTTATATGGTCGTATATGCCCTCGTCTGTCTATTACGGACATATCCAATATACCCGTTCTTACACACTTGCAATTGGTTCAGGGTGTACGCAAAACAGAACTCATTAGCACTTTGTAAGCAGCTACCAGAACATATATGTATATGTACATATGTATATATCAGATATATGTGCATGTTTTCGAATTGTTCGGTTAATCTTACTTCGCACTTGGTCAAAGGTTCGCTGTGACAGATCACTTTTTGTGATTAGTTAATGTCTGTTGTAATTGCGCTTGCCCTGCCATGAAGTGACATTTATAATTGTAGCACTTCATGCGCGAAGGGAGGGGTTACAGCTTTTAGGGGGGGGGGGGGGGGGGGGGGGGGGGTACCACAGTCAATCTCAGAAAACATCTGCTCAGAATTCAGTCAAGGCAACAAGTGGCTTAGTGGGTTACGATTTGGACTTTAACCGGTTCGTTTTCCGTTACTTTTTTGTTGTTTATTTGGATAAATTTTGTGGGTCGTTGGCACCGCTAAGTAATATGGGCGTGGCGTGGGCTGACTCTATGCAGATTTGTTGGCCCAGACAGCGTCGAGAACAACAACGTCAACAAAGCGCAACAGCTGCCGCATCGAGTGCATTGGCCAGAACTAGTTGTCGTTAATCTTTGCACAGTGTGGCAGCTGCACGCCAAAAAGTGGACACTGTTTATTATTATTGCCATGCTGGCAGCACGCTCCATCGATTAGCTGGCGATAACTCCAACTCATTTCAAAATGCGCAATTTATCATATGCTCGGTTTTGTTTTATCGCAAGGCCAAAGAAACCCGAGGAAGACATAATGTGTGTTTACGTTTGTGTGTTTGCATTTAGTTATTTCGTAATGCAGTTTCAAACGGTAAAACCTGTTTTGTTTTTAATAATAATTCCAACTCTTAATCAGAAGCTGTTTAAAAAAAATAAGCATTTATTTTGTATATCATCATAGTGTACGCCCACGCAGAGCGTAAGTTTTGCACCAATGTGCAAGCGTGTAATAGATATTTCAAGAGAGAGCGAGAGTGAAAGAGAGTGAATCTCAAGCAATAGCCGCTAGGAGGCGCCTCACTCGCGCTCTCTTTTAATTAACGCCCGCCGCTCTCACCTGTTCCAATGTTTTGCGCTGTTCAGCGCTGATTTCGGGCAGTGGACCAGACATTATGTATTTAATTTATTTAATCAAAATTGTTAAAATGTTGCCAATTCGGGTTTTTATGCACACACACACGAACACACTAAAACGCCAATTTCTTTTCTTTTTTTTCGGTTATTGTGTTGTTGGGTTCACACGCAAAAAATGTGATGATGCTTCGGTTTTTTCGCTTTTTTTGGCTTTGACTTTGGCGTTTTGTTGGCTTAAAAATAATAATAATAAAAACTTTCTACGCTTGCGTAGCTCTTGTTGTTGTCGTCGATCTGGCCAGTTGCATATTTTGAACGCAATTATTTTGTATTTTGTTATTTAACTTTAGCCTTAACACAGGCTGACCCTCATCTGAGCCGGTTAATAACAATAATTACAAAAGGCAACAGTTGCACGCACTAGACACAAGATGGCGCCAATTTGACAACGTTTGTCTTTTGTTTTTGTGTAATGAATATATATATGTGTTACACTGATAAACAGCCGCCGGAACTGAAGCGAACGGAACTTAAAACTCCCCCAATGCGTTGTGTTTGGCGAGCGACGACAAACTGAGCCGAAATTTGACGCAGCTTTGCTACTTAAAATGCTCTCATTGCCGCTCTCTTAGCGGCGAATCGGCGCTTGTCGCGCCAAAAGAGCGACGTCGGCGTTCTTTTGCACTCAATTGTTGCTCTCTCTCGCTCTCATCCTCTCTCATGCGGGTGCAAATTGTCTGTTTTGAATATCAATTAAAATTATATATGAGGCTTTCTCTAAAGTAGAGTATAACTATATTATCTCGAAACATGCCACATTACTCTGTACCCATTCTTTAGGAGAACAACTTAGTTTAGATGGGGGCAGTGCGCCCCCTTGCGTTGCATTTATTTACTATAAAGTACTTGTGGCTTTTTATCAGCAAAGATTGCAGTTTATTGGCATTTGCTTATGGAAATATTTCTGCCTATGCGCGTCAAGTGCGCTACTTAATTTTTTTGGTTATTGGTATTTGTTTTTTGCGCGTCGAGTGCGTTGGCTGTATACCAACAAACATTTGCTTTACCGATAAGATAAGCAATAAAAGTCCGTTTGAAACAGTCAGCAGTTCGCCATGACCGATTACTGCAGTTTATGCTATCTCAATCAGCTGTTTGAGTAACTTCAAAGAAAACAGAGTATCTGACTGTTGCGGGACGAATTAAGTTATCGATTGTTTAGTATTAAGTATATTCTGAAAGTATGTATTTTTGCCCTGTGAATGTACGGGCACATTGTATTTGGCTTGTTGCCGCCATCACTTAAATGTTAAGCTCATTATTGTCGTGAGTTAGAAGGCCGTAGGAGGGAAGACTGCGGTAAGATTCTGAGGGAATATATATTTAAGTTCTAACCTATATAATCCGTTCAGAATAAAACACTTGCACTAGCACGTTTTGCATTACGCTGTCTCTATTAACATCGGAGTAACATGGCCAGTGGCCAGGCGTAAACCTTGCAGTGTTCAAATTGCAACTCCACCTTCGTTTGGCACGCGACATGATCTTTTATTCGCAGTTCTTATTGTAAGAAACTGCAAGGGCGACTTGCACTGGAGACAAGACGTGGTGTAACTTTGGAGTTACAGTGCGTGTAGATAGACACAGCACAGGCAGGGCCTCCACCCCAGTTATAGAGTTACCATTGGTACGCAGCCAGCGTAAAATATAGTAGAAGTCATCTCCGAGCTGAACAGGATGACACAACGGTCACCCAGGAAAAGCCCACGCCTGAATGATGGCCAGGAGATAATTACCACGACGAGTGAGGTGCCACCGAAGCGGACAAGTAGAATGGTGAGCACTGTATCACAAATGCAAGTTCCCGCTGTGAGCGCGCCACAAAGCCCCAGCACCGAGGATGTGGGAACAAGGGTACAACCTGCCGGCACTGTGGCCGCAGGAGTGAGTGCACGAGCCAGCATATTGACAGGAGCGCCAAGCCCATGCACGCAACTCTCAAGTGCTCAAGTCATGGATTTGATAAAGAGAGTCGCTGCGCTAGAGCACGAGTTGCAGAGGTCAAAAACTGGTCAAGCACATGTGAGTACAGTTACTGATCCCGTTAAATTGAGTGATGCTGGCGTGGGTCGTACAGCTATCCTGCCGCCATTTTTGAGTGGAGAGCCATCGTCGAGTGGAAGTTTGAGTGAAACTGCAATTATGAGTGGAGCCCCAAATTCAAGTGTTAGTTTGAGTGAAACTGCAATATTGAGTGGAACTGCCATTTTGAGCAGATCGCCATCTTTGAGTGAGGCATTGCCTACTTCATTGAGTGGAAATTTGGGACCACAGTTGCAAACGGTAGAACGAGCTACAGTTATGGATAACTGTTCTACAACATCAAGCCGCTCGACGCCATATTGTTCTGCAGGCATTGCGCAGTCAACGCTCAGCCACACGCCGGCACAAGAGAACCAACCTGTGATCATTTTGGAGCCAACGCAGGCAACTGGGGACTTCGCATGGGCGACACCCAGGAACGATGTATGCCTGCTACGCAAATTACCAGATCTACCCGAGTTTGGAGGCCAACCTGAGGATTGGCCTATATTCTTCTGCGCGTTTACGGAAACAACTTTGGCGTACAACTGTACGAATCTGGAGAATAACCAGCGATTGTTGAAGGCACTCAAAGGCGAAGCACGTGATACTGTGAAGTCGTTGCTCATACATCCCAGGAATGTGAACAACGTGATGGAACAATTACGTTTTAGATATGGCCGTCCAGAACAACTAATACGCAGCCAGCTAATTAGTATTCGAGAGGTGCAGCCAATTCAAGAGCACAGCATAGCGAAAATCGTGCCATTTGCTACACGAGTGAGTAACCTTGCCGCCTTTCTACGATCAGCTAACGGAGAACAGCATTTAGCGAATCCTACACTGATGGAGGATTTGGTCGCTAAGCTACCACCAAGCAAGAGGGTGGAGTGGGCCAGACATGCAGCTACGATTAGGCCTTTCCCGACTGTCGTACATTTTAGCGCGTGGTTAACGGACTACGCCAATTTGGTATGTACGATTGTGGACGTCGATGGTAAGGAGCAGAAGCGTAGAGTGCTGCATGCCAGCATTGACCAGAATAATGAAGGGCGACACCGAGGTCGCACCAAACAGTGTCCAATCTGTAATGGACAACACGCAGTCAGGGACTGCAACGAGTTTAACTTAGCCTCTCCGCTAAAAAGGTGGACGTTTGTTAAAAGGCACCGGCTTTGTTTCTCGTGCCTACGAGATGGCCACATGGCAAGAGTCTGCAAAAGGGCAAACGAATGTCAAGTCAATGGTTGCCGAAAGAGGCATCATCGCCTTTTACATGATCATGATGCTATGAGTCACAATGCACCGCAGCCAGCGGGTGATAGAGTGATGAATATTGGACGGATGCCGCAGCCAGCGGATCCGCACACAAGGGCACCGCAGCCAGTGGATGCTCAATTGACGCAACAAACGAATTTAAGTTGTGTCGATTCGGATGGAGAACGCCTACTATTCCGCATATTGCCAGTGACATTGCACGGGGCCAATAAGCGGATCGATACGTATGCACTCCTCGACGAAGGCTCGTCCGTAACTATGATAGACGACGAGCTACTGCGCGACCTAGATGTCAAAGGGGAACGCAGGCAACTAAATATACAGTGGTTTGGTGGAAGAGCAACCAGGGAGCCGACCACAGTGGTAAGCATGGAAATTAGTGGAGCGGACAAACGCAAACGTTATGTGCTGCGAAATGTGTACGCCGTGTCCAACCTGAGCTTACCGATGCAAAGTCTGCATCGACGTGATGTACAAATGTTGGACAACGGTGCACGACTTCCAATGAAACCGTATCGCGGGGCGGTACCAAAACTTCTGATTGGACTGGACCATGCGCATCTTGGACTGCCAATGCAAACAAGAAGGTTTGCACCACAGGGACCATATGCCGCAGCCACCGAACTTGGATGGGTGGTTTTTGGGCCGGTAAGAGGTCAACCAACGACAACGTCAACAAAGTCATGCCTCCTAGCAGTGTCGCAGGAGGATGCAATCCAAAAGATGGTAAACGACTATTTTGATATCGAGAACTTCGGTGTGAAGCTTACGTCACCAGTCGCAGCCAGCGACGATGCACGAGCACAGAAGATACTCGAAGACACCACGGTGAAAATAGGGGAACGTTACCAGACAGGTTTGTTATGGAACCGTGATAATGTTGAGTTGCCACGAAGCTACGATATGGCATACAAAAGATTGGTCAACATTGAGAGAAAGATGAAGCGTAACGATCAGTTTAAACGAGCCTATATGAAAATTATGGACGATTATGTTCATAAAGGATATGCTCGACGCTTGAAGCATCATGAGGTCGCTTTAGCCAACAGCGACAAACTTTGGTATCTGCCGCACTTTGGAGTTGAAAATCCAAATAAGCCCGGTAAGATAAGACTGGTGTTCGACGCGGCAGCAAAGGTCGGTGACATTTCATTGAATTCGGCATTATCCAAGGGGCCGCAGCACTACAAGTCGCTGCCGGCTGTTCTCTTCCATTTCCGGGAAGGTGCGGTTGGCGTTTGTGGAGACATCAGAGAGATGTTCCATCAAGTGTTGATTCGACCGCAGGATAGATGCGCCCAGCGATTCTTGTGGCGAAACGGCGATGACCGCCGGGAGCCTGATGTTTATGAGATGAGGGTAATGACATTTGGAGCAGCATGCTCGCCAAGCACCGCGCACTATGTGAAGACCTTGAATGCCCTGCAGTATCAGGATTCAGACCCTCGCGCGGTTAAAGCTATTCTTGAATGTCATTATGTGGACGACTATGTGGATAGTTTTGATAGTGAAGGCGACGCCATCGCCATATCAACAAGAATAAGAGAAATACATGCAAATGCTGGATTTGAATTGTGCCAGTTTACTTCCAGTTCGCCAACCGTAGCTGACGCCCTGGGCCAACATGGGGCTGCTAGGAGCATCGGATGGGGCGAAGCTGAAGAAAAGATTCTGGGCATGTGTTGGCAGCCAGCCACGGACGATTTCAAATTCAACATGAGGTACCACAAAGTACCCCGATGTGTGCTAAATTTGGAGCGAGTACCTACGAAGAGGGAATTCTTGAGCTTGATCATGTCAACATTTGATCCCTTGGGATTTCTTAGCTGTCTCATGATAACTGGAAAGTTACTTATGCGTGAGATCTGGCGACGAAATGTGCAATGGGATGAACCCTTACCAGATGAGATCGCCCGCGCCTTTAGTAAATGGCTTCAGGATATGAACAATGTGGAAGGATTTCGAAGCTCGCGCCATTACTTTGGCCCAATACCCGTGCGGGCAATACAACTGCACGTTTTTGTCGACGCTAGCCAGTCAGCATTCGCAGCTGTGACTTACTTAAGGGTAACCTACGACAACAACGACGTGCGAGTATGCTTCGTATGTGCCAAGACGAAATGTGCCCCAATGAAAACGATGTCAATTCCACGACTGGAATTGCAAGCTGCTGTGTTAGGAACGAGGCTGATG